GTTTTCAAACTGTCTTTCCGCCATCAAATTTCTCAAACTAAAATTGCATGTTCGAGCACAGCTGTCTCAGTTTTACCTAGAAAATGATTAAAATGACTAGCGTGGTGGGCACAACAACAAAATGGTGCCTTCTCACTTCTTCCCCCTGAGCAACAGAAACGGCAGTCTCTTATTCCGGTAAAGCAGGCCCTAAACTCACCCCATACACAAAGGTCAGTTTTTCTCTGCAATTTCAGCATCCAAAAGCTTTGCCCACCTACTTGAGCCACACAGTAGACAACTCAAGTGCTCACCAGACCCCTAAAATCTTGAATTGCCTGCTCTCCAGGAAGCTCTCATTGTGAAAGCAACTGTTGCTTTAATAGCAGTCGAAGATCACTTTTCCAAAGTGCATAAACACAGACGCTCACTACCTTGAATTCCTATACTATCATTTGTAACAACCCTGGCTTAATCACAAATCCCAATCCTCAGCTCTCAGCAGTCAAGTGTTCCTCAGAGTGGACAGAAAGACTCACCTCAAGTGTGCTTACAAAAAAAAAAAAAAAGAGCCGATGGGGTCTGGAGAGACCACTCAGGGATTACACAGAGACCAGACCAGTGGGGTCAAATCCCTGGAAGCCGAAGATATAGACAGCTGTAAAGCACCTGACTTTGGTGCTGGAATCAACTTGGGCCTCTGTAAGAGCAGTGTATGTCCAGAGTCATCTCTCCAGCCCCTTAGTTTACAATTTTTAGTAATTATACGCATTTACAGAATTTTAAAAAACGAATCTGTGTTTTCTCCTCGGTGCTCGAGTACCAGGACCACCACACTCCAACATCTTCTCTCTGTCCACCAACCACATATGGACCACAGCCTCTGCCATGTAACCAGGCTCTGAACATTTCCTTCCCTAAGAAAGCAAAGCTACAAGGACTGCCCCATGTGAAAGGTGTTTCAGAAGCACTTTAGGGTGATTTCAAACAATCCATAAAGTAAAATCATTTTCAGCATAACACACGGGGAGGGCGCGCGGGGGGAGGGGGGTGGGGATAAAAAAACAGGGTTTTCTTCATGATCTGACAAGCCTGTCAGACGAGTGCTGCAGCTGAGCCCCATGTCAGCAGTCCTGATTCCCATCGTCCTTAATACTCCACAATCCTTTTCTGAAGCAGCTGAGATATGCTACAAATAGCATTCAGACTTACCCTCCTTTTCCTTGCATTCATCTTTTGTTTAGACTCTTTGACGAAGGCATTGTACGATGGGACCTCCTTGGCATCAATAGCTTGTTGAATGATGTTCCTTAGCCTGGGTTCGTCTGTGTATTGCACACAAAGCACAGACTCCATGATCTGATCCATGTCGCCCTTGAAGTCCAGATAGGCCTGCTTAATATCGGCTAGCTCTTCTTCAGAACCTTTGTACGTCTTTTCAAAAGCTTGAATGTCTTCTAGCGATATCTAATAACAAAGAAGATTGCTTTAACTTCGAGAATTGTACTTATGAACTGGACGGTGGAATTAAGCAAACCCTGTTACCTTTTTAAAGAGTAACCTCCAATACGCATCCCAGTCCCGGTCTTGGTTGAGGCCACCAGAGTCCTCGTCCACTGTCCCCTGTTCATCGTACACTGCTCTCTGCTCCTTGTCACTCAGAATCGCATAGACTCTTCCCAAGATCTGCAGGCAAAGAGCATCCAAAAGTCACCCTGAACCACCCGCTGACACCGTGCGGCTAGAAATGCTTAAAAATTCCAGGCCAGGGTACAGTGCGCTGTACCGGGGATAGTGTCGCTGCGGAGTGGGAGAAGTTCGGGTGGCAGTCCGAACGCGGGCCCACATACCTGGAAGCGGCGGGTGGCGTCCTCTTTCTGATCCTCGTCTACGCGGTCGGGGTGCACTTGCAGGGACACCTTGTGGTAGCCGCGTCGGACCTCGCCGTCGGAAGCCTCACGCCGCACGCCCAGCACCCGGTAGAGGTCGGCGGTGCCGAACACCTGCTCACAGAGCTCCAGCAGCCCCATGGCCGGGAAAGGGCCGCTCTGTCCGTCCACAGTCGCTTCGCACTCCCGCGGCCTCTACCCACCCACCGCCTTTTCCCGCTCAAAAAGCCTTGATCGTTGCGTCACAGGCGGTGCATCGGGGGCGGGGCCAGAGCGCTTTACGGCAGCCGCAAAGCGGACTTGATCTCGCCCGCGAAAATACAGCCCTCTGCGTGCGTTGACCGCCTAGTCTCCTGGAGCGGAAGCACGCCCTCCCCGCTTCTCACCCAGCACTCCTTCCTGCCCTGAAATCTGCCATCAGGATTCTCACACAGAAGCTCACTCAATGACACATGAAAACATTTAGCAGTTTCTCAATAGAAAGCGGTTACTCGGGCTGGCAAGGATACTCAAGCCATACCTGATGACCCCCGCAGGGGGAAGGAGAGCACAGAACCCATCAAGTTGTCTTCTGACCTCCACACACACAAATCACACAAAATAAGTAAATGTAATACAAATGGTCATGTATTTGTGTTGAGAAATTTAACATGCTCAACCCAAAGGTTAAAGTAATGTGTATTTTTTGATTCTCGAAACAGAACTATACAGACTCAAATGACATCTGGGACGAATCCCTCAATCCTTGACACAGGAGAAAGCCTATGTCAAACAAAATGCACAAAGCAAGTTTCTAAGAGCACCTTTTATCAGTCAGGCAGTGGTGGCACACACCTTTAGTTCCAGCACTTGGGTGGCAGAGGGAGGCGGATCTCTGTGAATTTGAGGTCAGCCTGGTCTACAGGGTCAGTTCCAGGACAGCCAGAGCTGTTACACAGAGAAACCATGTCTTGAAAAAACAAAAAATATCTTTTATATTCCAGGACCATATATATTAGACAGCACAGAATTAATTTTACTTGCAACTCCAGTCACCTCACACTTTTGGTGGACATAATATTGACTCAACCTCTCATTTTAAACATCTCAGTGGTTTCTCGCCTTTTCCCACTCCTCATATCTAAAAATCAAAGACAACTAAGAGCAGTCCCTCTCTATCTATTCTCAAAGACCCCTCATGCCAAGTGAAAGAAAACCAGCCGCCACGCTGGAGAGCCTCAATCTCATTTGCTAGTAGATGTTTCTAGAACCCAGATAAGACAAGTCAGAGCATTAGCAAACCTTGGAACCTTCCAGTACTTTTTAGCCTTACTCTAAGTTTGAAACCTACATTATCCAGTTGTGAAAAACAAATGATTATGTGAAGGAGACACCCCCATGCGCAGCAGAGGCTCCCTCTCGGACCCAGGATTAGGCACAAACCACACACAAACATCTATTTTCCAGAAAGATCCTTTATTAAGTGGGAAGAAAAGTTAAAGTGGCTGCTTTCTGACTCGGGCAGCAAACAGCAGCAAAGGACCTTGAGAAAAATGGGAGGTCTGTGAGAGGATGTCGTGGTATATACTGATTGGGCTTGTTAGTTGGGTAAACCAAAGAGGGCTTTTGATTGCTGAACTTTAACACTTGGATAGCCAGACCTGTTAGCCTCAGGAGGATGAAGTAGCCAAATAAGGAACAAATGCTGTTGGCTAACTTTAGGAATTTAATCTAATAGTTTTTAGCAAGGTAGAGGGAACTGGGGAGAAGGGCAAGGCCCGCCAGAGCTACTTGCTCAAGAAGGCCAGTGTCCCTTCAACAAGTAATTCCTGCTAATAACCATAGAATCCTACTGTTCTGGTGAAGCAAATGTTAGATTTGATTTCATAAGCCTCTCATTTACATATCAAACTCAGGATGCCTAAGCGCAATACTTCTATCACTGACTTTCTTCTGTGTATGATGTGTTTGTGTGCACAGTGGTGTGTGTGAGTTAGGTGGGCATGTGCCTGCTATAGCACATGTGTGGAAGCCAGAGAAAGACCTCAGCTGTCAACTTTACTTCGGACCTTTTCCTTTGTTTTTCCACTGTGCACACCAGCTGGCCTGTGTCTGGAGATTCCTTTGTCTTTCCCTCCCATCCGTGGTCCTGGAGGACGCTATTGCAGACCCTTCCACTTCCTGCTACATGAGTTCTACGGATTTGAACTCAGGACCTACATGGCAAAGCACTTTTACCCCCGGATCCATCTCCACAGAAAAGCCCCCTTATTACTACTTTTCCCCTCATATAGGCAACAATGTATATAGGAAGACTTTGTAGGACATATGGAGTCTATAAAAGTTTCCTACTCTTGAGGTATAGCCTCTTTCCTCATCTGTGAACATGGACATAACTGACCTAGAGTTGTAATACCTGAATACACAAGCAATTTCTCAGTACAGAGCTGGCTATACGGAAGGGGCTTTGTATTAGCTTCCTTCTAACTACTCTCTTAAAAGGTAGCGGTGCATGCCTTTAAGCCCAGCATTCATTTGGCAGGCAGAGGGAGGCAGATCTCGCTGAGTTCCAGGACAACCTGAACTATCACAAAGAGAAAGCCTACCTCTAAAAAACAAAACAAAAGGTAGGTTATTAAAACCCCAAAGCAATTTTTACAACCCATCCGTGTAAATCTGAGGTCATATGTCAAGAAAACAATATAAATCTCCACTAATACAAAAAATAAACAAAGTAAGTTCTTGAGCTTTGGGATGATCCCAAGTGATAAAGGAAGCATTTGGGCCAGGCAATAGTAGCTCCACCTGTAATCCCAGCACTCAGGAGACAGGGTCAAGAGGCTGCACGCTAAAGGCCAGTCTGGTCTACGTATCACATACAACAAGCTCCACATCAGCCAGGGCTGCAAGTAAGACCCTGTCTTAAAGAAAGTATTTGAATGGGCAAAGCACATTCTAGTTGAGGGCTTTGACTAAAAGGCAGCAGATTGTAAAACTGCCCATGTGACCAGGGCCTAATCCCAAAACCAAACCTCCCCCACACCCACTGACTCAGGTAAGGCAGGAAGCATAGCAGGTACCTACACCCAGCTCTGATGTCAGATAACAAACCTCCATCTGATCCCTGCTCAGGATGTGCTGGAAGACTGGGACTTGAAAACCTCCATTTATTGATCCTCAAACCAACAAAAAGCTCTACGCAAGAGTTGTGAAGGCCCCTTGACCTTGCAGCCACAACTGTGTGCACTGATGTCAGCTTGCTTCTGTTCCTCCAGGCTCCGATTCTGTTTTCTGGGACGCTAAGAGGACTTCTCGAGCTCTCTTCCTCCGAAGTCTCTCAGCATTTGTGATCATCATCGGATGCAGGGGGTAAAAGCCAGAAAGACCTAAAAGCAACAGGATTTTCTCTGTAATACTGCACATGCCAATGCTTCCTGACTGATTTCCAGAACTGAGATGCAACGCCAGACCCACGGCACAGACAAGAAATAGGCCAAGCTCACTGTCTGCTTCCTAACACTGCTCTCCTTACTTTAAAGGGAAAAAAGGAAACTGACAGACAGGCGCCCAAGACACACCATCTCCATTTTTACCCCACAACATCCCAGTCACTCCAAGAGTTCTAAAAACTGGCAATTACATCACCACACCTTCCTCCTGTCCGCAGCAGCGTGGATGGAGTGAAAATCATCCTTTGTTTCCATTATCCTAGAGCTGACTCCAGTATAAAAACCTCTTAAATTATCTAAGCTCAGAGATGTTTTACCCAGAAGTTTCTCCATGGGCTTAGAGAGGTGAGCCCCACAGCCAATCCAATGCCGGATCCGGTCCAGGTTGAGAGCAACCAGTTTTTCTCCGTTACTGTTGGGGAGTGGATCGAAGGAGCCCAACTGCTCCACGAAGCGGCCATCCCTGGGACACTTGTTGTGAGCAGCCACAATGCGGTAAAAGGGCCGGTTGGTGCAGCCACCCAAGGCTAGGCGGATGGTTAGGTGGCCCCCACGGTACGCTTTGCAGAGAAAGGTTGCTGTAGAGAAATAACTTGTCAGGACGCAAAAACAGAAGACACAAAATAGGTCATACACGGTGAAGGCCCAATTCTTCTTTCTCCTGCAGTGTTCTCACTTCCAATCTATTCCATCCGGCTTAGGTACCAAGCTATCTGTGAAACCTTCCCCCTTCAACATTCCATCTCGGACACACCTCCTTTTCTCCAAACGCGGGTAATACAGACCTGCCATTTACTAGGTTGCGACCTTGTACCCTTAGCTGCCTCATCTGCAAAACGATTTCTACGACGATGTTTAGGGAAAAACTGAGAAGAGAGGCCGGGCGCGGGGGAGCACGCCTTTAAGCACAGCACATTCGGAGGCAAAGACAAACTATGAGTTTGCTGTCTATGAGTTCGAAGTCAGCCTGTCTTTACCTTGTGAGTTCTAGGCTAGCCAGTGCTACACAGTCTAAAAACAAAGTGGACTGAGGCGATACCGCACTGTAAGGCAGTGCTGCCGCTCCGAGCCCGGGTCCCCGCTTCCCGCATGCGCCCCAAAGTCCCGCGCACTCACTAAGGTGGACCATGGCGCAGCGACGCGTGACCCTGCGGCTGTCCTCTCTGCATAAACCAGCAGCCCAGAGCCTGAAGCCCGGAGGAGCGCCCCAAGCGGCCTCACACGCACATTCAATATCCGGAAAGCCCACTGCGGAAGCGGTTGGCCGCTCGCCCCACCTCTTCCGCTTTCTCTTTCTGGGTCTACCGGAAGACAACAAGGCGACCCTGACCCCGACTTCCTTAAATGACGCGGAAGAGCTGTGTTTGTAGGCGTGGAGCTGCTCTTGGGGCTGTCTTTGGCGTGATTCCCTGCGGCAGTAGGGGGAGTATTGCGAGACTGCGGGTCCGGTCTGCAGGGGTGCTGCGCACTCTGCAAACACATCAGCCCTGCAGCGATTTCCACCCTGGTTAGGGCGGCAAGCGCTGGTGACGGCCTGGTGGGCAGGTGGGATCCCACCGGAGAGCCCGGGCGGTCCGTACACAGCAGGGAACGAAGTTGCCTTCCCTTTCCTCAGGAAGACTTCATAAAGGACTGAGCGAGGAGCAGAATTAAAAATAATTTATTCTGTTTATTAATATGACTCTCACCTTCCCTCATATTCTCCCACCCTCACAGAAGAAATCTCTCCATCAAAAAATAAGGTGGGTGGGGAGTCGGGCGGTGGTGACGCACGCACCACCTCTGCATTCGGAAGGCAGAGGCAGGCGGATCTCATGAGTTCAAGACCAGCTCTGGTCTACAGAGCTAGTTCCAGGACAGCCAGGACTGTTACACAGAGAGACCCTGCCTTGAAATAAATACTAAACAACTAAATAAATAAAGGGGGAGAGAGCTTTCATTTCCCCCCTTTACTGCAACAAGTTCTAAGAAATTAGGGGTATGATTTCTTTGTTTTCTCAAGACATAGAATTATGGCTTCACTAGTGAATTTTGCATCTCTGATCACAATGGTGTGTAAAAGCCTCTCCTGATTTACATCCATGAAGATACCGGTTGATTTAAAGAAATTAGTATGTCTGTCTTAAAAACCTTTCAGCTCTTCCAAAAGTCTTAGCCCCAAGAATATCCTCTGCTCTCTTACCCAGTGACGTAGCATGACAGTGTTCTAAGCTCACCTTTAAAGATGATGCCTTCATTGCCAACCCCCAGTAACTGAAGCTGGTCAAGAACCTTGGCAATTGATGGTAAACTTTCATCAGAAATTGTAATGGTCACACCATTATGACATATAGCTACCCACAAAATATATTTATTAATTAGTCACATAATTGTATAAACATGAAATATATAAGACTCCAAAAACAACACTGATACATTTGATTTTTCCTTTTTAATTGTGATCTGATTTATAGTTAACAGTTAATGGGGGAGAGGTCAGGTTTTATCTAGTGACAATTTGGGAAGGAAGATGAGATGCTTGTAGTTCCATATTGAATATCCATTTTTAAGGATGTCAGAAAGATGGATCTCCAAAGCCAACCATTTCCTGAACGGTGTGGATTTCTGTAAGCAGAGCCTCATCTTTCAGTTTCAGCTGCAAAAACAAGGCGGGAAAACGACAGATAACTCCAACACCATGAAGCTTTGAAGAACCCTAATTTATGAGGCTCCAAATTTGCGGGAATAAAATGGGCTTTTCCTATATTCTCTATACCATGGGAGCTCCCTTAAAAACTTAGAATGTTGTGTTATTTTCATGGGTGTGTGTTTCCCTCGGTGGAAATCCATCAAGCACTGAGTGCTCACAGTCTACATTCTGGGTCTTACAGCCATCTGTGCATACCTTTATTGTGTACTTGTAGGCCTGCTCGGCTTCCAGCTGTCGTCCAACCTGAAAGAAAATGCACAAAATATGACCAAATCCAGAGCTAATCAAACTTGGGTTATTACATGTTAACAGCCATCTTACCTTTCTTTCTTAGTTGGTCCCTTGCCTGTTCCCTGAAAGGGCTTTGTGAAGGGACAATAAGAAACACTTACTTTCAGACAGACCAGAGCCAGATAAGCCCATACTTCAGCATTGTAGTTATTCAGTGCATTGGCTTCGGAGAGAGCGTCTTCAGCCTCTGTGAGCTCCTCCAGCTTGGCAGAGAGGGATAGAGAAGAGACACAGTCCAGAGTGCTTTTCACTTACACCAACTAGAGTCAGCTTGGGTGGAACCACTATACAGCCAGTAGATGTCCATGACCTATACCAGTGCTCTTCCAAACAAAACCTCAAAACCCTGGAGTCACATGCAGCATATAGTTTACATGCTCTTATATAATTATGTAACTATTAATAGGTGTTATTTGTGGATGGATATATGATAGATATATATCCCTCCTCCCCATGATAAAGTAACTCTTCTTTTTTATCTATTTTGTTTTAAAATTATTTAGAGACTGGGTCTTCCTGTGTAGGAGACTTTCAGCAGGACTGGCATGATGAAATGCATGTAGTCCAGACTGGCCTTGAAACTGTAACTATCCTACTTCAGCTGACCAGGCATTGGGATTATAGGCATGAGTCACCAGGCCTGGGTTTTTTTTTTCCCTGTTTTGAAAGCCGGGCAGCACTGGTGCACTCAGAAGGCAGAGGCAGGCGAATTTCTGAATTTAAGGCTATCCTGGTTTACAGAGCGAGTTCTAGGACAACCAGGACTACAAAGAGAAGCCCTGACTTGAAAAAACAAACAAAGCAAAAAAAAAAAAGAAAGTAAGTTTCTGAGCCCAAGGAAAGATGAAGAGTAAGTAGCCTTTCAATCATGGCCATGTTTTGACCCTACTTTTCAGGTCTTCGGATATTGATTGTTCAGGCACTCTACATTTGTACACTTGATGCTGAGAATAAAATATGTGTGCACATTTACAGCACCCTACTGTCAAAGCCTCACTGGTAGACACATTAAAAAACAACAAAAAAGCAAAATATAATGAAAAATAAAATACATAAACAGTTCCATTACAAAATAAAAATAAATATTTCTATAGTAAAAGCACACTTGTGATGTAGAGGTGGAACAAAGAGAAACAGCATCAGATCTACCCTAACACTGAAGGATAGCCTCAGAGAGGAAACATCACTACCATGAACCATGAAGGAGAAGTAGGAATTCGTTAGACACGCAGGTCAGGAGAGATGAAGGGACTAACTACAAAGGTACAGGGCGTGACCAAGTACATCATGCATATAAAACTATCTTTTCTTATTTTTCTGCAGGGTCTCTCTGGCTGGCTTTCACCCCATAGATAACTACCTTCCTCTGCCTCCACTTCTACCTCCTGAATGATGGAAGGTGCTGTCCCAACCTCCAGGCAGGGACTTTGAACATGATAGACATCAACAGCCTCACAGCCTTGGTGGAAAACGTCTGTCTACAACCCCAGCACTGGGTAGGTAAGGGGAAAAGATGAGGAGTTTAAGGACATTTTTGGCTAAACAGTGAGTTTGAGGCCACCCTAGGTACATGAGAATCTCATCCCTGGCACTGGACAGGACAGGACATAGCGTCTGCTGACCATGCTAGCAGATTTGCACATGAACTGTGCCATGTCTAACAGGTGCTTTGAAAGGCTGCAGAGGAAAGAAATGTCGAGGCAAGGATGAAGACAATGGTGACCTAAAGTTAGTGACTGCCAAAGCAGGGTAGAGTAGAAGGCATTTTCTTCTCTTTACAGACTAAGAACATTTTATTTTATTTTTTTTTAATATTTATTTATTTGTTATGTATACAATATTCTGTCTGTGTGTATGTCTGTAGGCCAGAAGAGGGCACCAGACCCCATTACAGATGGTTGTGAGCCACCATGTGGTTGCTGGGAATTGAACTCAGGACCTTTGGAAGAGCAGGCAATGCTCTTAACCTCTGAGCCATCTCTCCAGCCCCCGACTAAGAACATTTTAAACTGTCCATGATAAAAAGCGAAACGAAAAACATTGACCCCGCAGCTGGTTTTATAGCCTTGTGAGCTCTCTTTGGTCTATTTATATCTCAGATTTCTCAGGCTAGGTTTGCCTAAGATTTTTCTTTGTTTTTCTTTTTTTCATTTAGTTTAATTTTATTTTATGTGCATTTTGTCTGCATTCATGTCTGTGTAAGGGTATTGGATCCCTGGACTTGTACTTACAGACATTGGGCTGCCATGTGGGTACCGGGAATTGAGTACCCACTACTTGAGCCCAGGTCCTCTGAAAGAGCAGGCAGTGTTCTTTTCTTTTTCCTTCCTTTCTTCCTTCCTTCCTTCCTTCCTTCCTTCCTTTTTTTTTCTTTTTTTGTTGTTGTTGTTTTTTCGAGACAGGGTTTCTCTGTGTAACAGCCCTATCCTGGAGCTAGCTCTGCAGACCAGCCTGGCTTTGAATTCACAGAGACCTCCCTGCCTCTGTCTCCTGAGTCCTAGCATAAAAGGTGTGTGCCACCACCGCCTGGCCTCATGAATAATTTTGAAGAAGTTTTTCATTAGAGTAGACTGCCATTCCACTATCATTACAACCCCCACAATATACTCGGAGGACCAAGGAATCAGGGCCTGGTATTCAGACTCTGTTTTCTTACCCTGTAACAGGCAATGCCTAGTCCTAGCCAGGTCAGGCATGAAGGCGATCTCTTACAGGCTTGCATGTAGGTTCTCTTTGCCTTTTCATACTGTCGAAAGAAAGCATCATTAAGTTTCAAACACCATGTTGTAAGGTAACTGTGATCTTCTTGACAGTTTTGCTCTAGAATAATCTTGAAGCGAGTGATTCCTTGGATTATATTTTCTTTCTTTTTCTTTCCTTTTTTTTGGGGGGGGGTTCTTTTCAAGACAGGGTTTCTTTTGAAGCTTTGGAGCCTGGAACCCACTCTGTAGACCAGGCTGGCTTGAACTCACAGAGATCCGCCTGTCTCGCCTCCCCAGTACTGGGATTAAAGGTGTGTGCCACCACTGCCCAACTGGATTATATTTCATGGCTCCTTTAAAGGAACTGATGCAAGAGGACTGGGAGAGATGAGAAAGCCAAAATAAAAGGTCAAAAGGGTGAGAACCTGGGAGCAAATCTGAAGATGAGAGAGGGACTTACGCTGGACATTCTGGACAGGCACAGAGCTCATCTGAATTCTGTCTAGACTTTATGGATTAAATCTTTCCCCTTGGAAGTGGTGTCATGTGGAAGGATGATAGACACTGAGCCTCTGGTCTCTCTGAGAACCTGGTCTCCTATCAGAAAAGTCTAAATGTGCCACAGAAGATATTTAGAGAAATTCAAAGATCCAACTTCCATTCAGATGCAAAGTCTATATTCCAGCTACTCACATCTAAGAGCTGAAAGAAGAGGATTATTTGAGCCCAAAAGTTCAAAGACAGTCTTGTAACATAATAAGATTCCATCTCTTTTCTTTTAGTGTGGGTGAAGATGAGACAGGTATAGTGGTATATTATTTGTGGTTTAATAAATAAAGTGTGCCTGAAGATCAGAGGGCAAAACAGCCACACTAATCAGTCATACAGGCCAAACAGTGGTGGCACACACCTTTAATCCCAGCAGCCACACTAGTTAGCCATAGAGGCCGGGTAGCGGGGGCGCACGCCTTTAATTCCAGCAGCCACACTAGTTAGCCATAGAGGCTGGGTAGTGGGGGTGCACACCTTTAATCCCAGCACTAGGGAGGAATATAAAATGGAAAGAGACAGGACTCAGGCTCAGTCTTCAGTCTGAGGATTCGTGGAGACAGAATCTAGAATCTCGCCCATTTCAGTCTGAGGTAGAGGTAAGAACCAGTGGCTGGCTGTTTTGCTTTTCTGATCTTCATCTTGAACCCAAATATCTGTCTCTGGGTTTGTAATATTCCTGTCACAGGGTTTCATGTTGTAAGGAGGGCCACTTGTTCATTTCCGGTTGCTCAGCCCCAAAATAATCACACAGAGACTGTATTATTTAAAACACTGCTTGGCCCATTCGCTCTTGCTTCTTATTGGCTAACTCTTACATATTAATTTAACCCATTTGATTAATCTGTGTATCGCCACATGGCAGTGGCTTACCGGCAAAGTTCTGGTGTCTGTCTCCAGCAGGGCTACATGGTTTCTCCCTGACTCTGCCTCCTTTCTCCCAGCATTCCGTTTAGTTTTCCCCGTCTAGCTCTGTTTCCCTGTAGCTCTGCTATAGACCCAAAGCAGTTCCTTTATTTGTCAGTGGTAATCATAGCATACAGGGGGAAATCCCACATCAGTCTCATATAGCCCAGACTGGCCTCAAGCTTGCTGTGTAGCCCAGGATGACCCTTCAGTGACTGATTCTCCAACCTCTACCTTCTGAAACCTGGAATTCCAAGGATGTGCTGCCACACCCAGTTTTATTTGATCCCAAGGCTGTGTTCATGATAGACTTGCACTCAACCAACTGCACTTTATCCCTAGACCATTGTCTCTTTTTTGTTGTTTGAGACAAGACCTCAGTATTTTCCCCAGGTTGACATCAAAGTTCTGTGCTCAAGCAATCCTGTGACCTAAGCCCTCGAGCACTGGGACCATAGGTACACACTGCCACACTCAGCAAGACCCTGTCTGTCTCTTTACAAAATGAAACTTCAAAAAGAAGTAGGACTTGGTGGCTTGTTTCTTGCCTATCTACAGCTGACCTTGAATATTTAATCTAGGAACCGGTTGCTTGGGTCAGTAGTGCCTTGAAGATGCAGCTTGCAATGACATTAGAAAGAAAATGTCAGCCGGGTGGTGGTGGTGCACACCACACACATCACAGAGGCAGGAGGATCTTTGTGAGTTCAAGGCCAGCCTGGTCTACAAGAGCTAGTTCCAGCCAGGACAGGCTCCAAAACTATGAGAAACCCTGTCTCGAAAAACAAAAAAGAAAGAAAGAAAATGTCTCATTTATTTCACTGCAGCAGGGCTGTGACTTCTCTCACCCCTGCTCAACCTTCCCATGTACATTGTTCAGCATTGTGACATCATGTTCCTATTGGTAAATATAGTAAATAAAAACTGACATTTATGGGTGAAGAAGGAAAAGGAACGAAGACAAAACAACCATCGCTCCAGCTCCACAACTTAGTTTTTACACTCTGATTTTTAAAAACTTGCTTAATCTTTAAAGCTCCTCTTAAATTACAGCTCACAATACCCATATGACGATATCCAGACTGATCTCTGGAGAAGCCACGCCCATTTTGGATGTGTCAGTTTTACTCCCTCCTCTCCCACTCATGTTTAGCTAAACAGTGTGTTATTCTGTATCTCTACTTAGTAAATTTCAGAACTTCATTCTGACGTGTCCTGAGTTCTTTTCTGCAGTGTAGATTTACCAAAATGAAGGTCTCTAAAACGTGGGTGGGGGTGGAGGGCAGTGATGTGTGGGAGGACAGAGGACGGGACTCTTCAGGTTGCTCTAGGTTTCTCCATAGCCCCAGACAGATCCTGGGTCATGGTTTCCCAGCCTTCTCTCTCCGTTACCTCCTTCTCCTCCAGGTAGATGTGTCCCAGGCGTAGGAAGATGAAGTGCATCTCAGAAGCGTCAACTACAAAACTAACAGTTCGCTCATAGCATGCCTTGGCCTCCGCATGATCGCCGCTCAGAAAATAGAGATGGCCCTTCACACCCCAGACATTAGGGTTCTGAGGAAGCAGAGGACATGTGGGGTGACTGGTAGTTAAGTCTCTAATGAATTTTATTTAACATTTAAAGTTAGATTGGTACATTTATCTTTTTTGTTTGTTTGTTTGTTTGATTGATTGATTGATTGATTTTTTTGAGACAGGGTTTCTCTGTGTAGCCCTGGCTGTCCTGGCTGTCTTAGAATTCAAAACTCACTCTGGAGACCAGGCTGACCTCGAACTCACAAAGATTTGCCTGCCTCTGCAGTGCTGGGATTAAAGGTGCAGTGCCATCACCACACGGTTTCCTCTTTTCTTTTCTCTAAGAGCACACACAAAAAGAGCTGTATTTGTCACACTAGGGAGTAATTTCCTAGGTCTGCTCTCATTTTCTGATTGCTCAAAGCCATTTGGTCTTTGGGGGTGACTATTAAGACAAACACTCAACTGTAATCAGGATAATGCTATTAGGAGCAAATAGAAGTCTAGAAACTTGAAATAAAAAGAAATTTCTGCTAAATGCCCACTTTATCTATTCTCTTTACCTTTTGTAAAACTCATGATCACTTAAGAAAAACAAATACAAGTATAAATGTTACACACACATACACACACACACACACACACACACACACACACACTCATACACACACCATGCACATCAGAAATCTCTCCATGATATGGTACCACTACTCTGTTCTGAGACAGAGTCTCCTCATGCTGCCTGTTCCCGCCTCAAACTTCTGGGCTCAGCCCCTTAGCTGCTGAGACCCACACTATTGTGCCCTGTTGTCATCTCTATTTTAACAAAGCCTCTTCACACCCCTCCTCCCATTCAAGAGGCTTTATCTAGGAAAATCAGTACCAGATAGTCCATCTGGGCTGCTTGCTGAAGGTATTCCTCTGTCTTGGCAAAGTCCTTCTTGAGAAGGTGTGTCTGGGCCAGAGCCAGATAATACTCACAGCTGGGTCCTCCCTGAGGGCACAGCAACTCATGGGCCAGGACTCTGTGCACAAACTGCAAGGAAACCCAGTGATCAAGAACATAAAAATGACTGCTTGTGTTAGCCGCATAGCTTTACAGGAAACAGTGAGGCGTGTCTTACAGAGTGAAATGAGCAGAAAGATGCTAAAGAGTGGCAAAGGGACAAGGGCAAATCATAAGCATTCAGTACTTCATGCTCCAGTAACAGCTGTTCAGTCAGTGCACACCCTGCAGCACTGCACGGTGCTGGCCCTGGGGTATGTAGACTGTATGTATTAGGCACAGGAAAAGGCTTCAGTCGTCTACTTACAGGACGTAACATTTCCAAACTGTTGACATTTTAAGGAAACTTTTAATGAGGCAAGCCCCACCTCTCTGAAATGCTAAGACTTGTAATTTCACAAACATAAATACCTGCTTTTGCCATACCACTAAACATTTATGCTTACCAGTGCATTTGAGGCTCTTTCCCCCACCTCCTCAATTTAAATAACCTGCAAATCTGGTGCAGTCAGATATGCTTGCAAAGCAGAAGTGGAGCCTCCTCAGTTTTTGCAGTCCATTCTTGGCGTTTCAGTCTTTGATACAGAAGCCTGTTAGCCCTACCTGCTGCGGGTGCTCTTGTCTAATGTGGTCCAGCCCATCCTTTCATGAGGCTGCATGCCCTCCAGTGGTCGCAGGATCAGGGCCAACTCCACCAGTCCTAGATTTCACACTCCCTCCCACCACTTGCTCATGAGTACCCCTCGTGTGGGCATATGCTTATTGAATGACTTCCTTTTGGAGAAGAAGACCGTATCTCCAGCTGCTCTGTCTGTGACTATGTGGGTCAGTAAATTTGGAAATAATGTATGTGAAGGCATGTTTGTAGAGGTGGGGGCAGGGGCACATGTGTACTATGCTGTGTATGTGGAGGGAAGGAGATAATGTATGTGAAGGCATGTTTGTAGAGGTGGGGGCAGGGGCACATGTGTGCTATGCTGTGTATGTGGAGGGAAGGAGATAATGTATGTGAAGGCATGTTTGTAGAGGTGGGGGCAGGGGCACATCTGTACTATGCTGTGTATGTGGAGGGAAGGAAATAGCTTACACAGGACTTGGTTCTCTTCTTCCATCATGTGGGTACCAGAAATCAAACTCAAGGCATCACCCCTTTACCCACTAAGTCATCTTGCCAAATCTATAGCCTAGTTGTACTATTAAAATAATTTAATGTTTTTAGCCCTCACTCACATAGCACTGTGTATCTGTTTTCAGGAATGGATGGTAAAAGAGATATAATCAGGTGCCTATGAATCTCCAACATTTATAAGTTCCTAAAAGAAAAAGTGATGTGAGATTCCCCTCTGTATGCTATGAGTGTTTTATTGCCATTGGTTAATAAAAAATCTGCTTTCAGTCAATGACTTAACAGAATATAGCCGGGCTGGAAGATATCTATATCTATATCTATATCTATCTATATATATATATATATATATAGAGAGAGAGAGAGAGAGAGAGAGAGAGAGAGAGAGAGAGAGACAATAGGCGGAGTCAGAGAGAAGTCATGTAACCCCGCTGGAGGCAGTCGCCAGATGAAGGACAGAACTTTACCTGGTAAGCCACAGCCACGTGGCAATACACAGATTAATGGAGATAGGTTAGTTTAGGATATAAGAGCTAGCTAAAAATATGCTTAAGCTATTGGCCAAACAATATTGCAATTAATACAGATTTCTATGTGATTATTTCGGGAGTCTAGGCAACCAGGAAACAAACAAGCAGCCTCTGCCAACAGAAGAGCTCAGGGACTGACAAGAATGATCAGTGGGTAAAGGTGCTTGCTGTCAAAATATCTGAGTCCAATCCCCAGAATTCACACGGTAGGAGGAGACGGCTTATGCAAATTGTTCTCTGGCCTCCACATGCACATATCTCCTCCTAAATAAGTAAATGTAAAACTACTTTTAAAAGAAAGAGGTCAGGTACAGTCAAATGTGGAGCCTGACTTAGCTCTGGGGCATTCTGTGGGGAGCAGACCTCAGCAAGGGCGGCTGAGAGCCTCTGCAGAGAGTGGCTGCTGTTTGCAGAGTCCTCACACTTGGCTAAGAAATGCCCTTAAAAGTACCTTTGAGGAATTAGCAATAGAACTCAGTGCTGGAATATCTGCATAGTTTGTAGGAGGCTCCAGGCTCAGTCCCCAGCACCAAAATTATCTTTGGTTTATGCTTCACACATATTTAAAATTTCAAGACACCGCTATGGATAGAATACAGAATTCACTAAAATCTTTCATCTCTGTGCCCATTCCCAAACATTCTGACCTGCACAGCATTGACCTTCATCAGAAAGCGAATGGTCTCCATGAAGATTGTGGCAGGAGCTTGGGGAATGGCATGAGAGGTAGAATGCAAAAAGGTCGAGGAATCTTGACATTTCGATGTTTCTAGAAAAAGATTAACAGGATAGACGACCAGATGCCAATAGGGAATGCCAGAAACTCAGACATATTGATAAGATATGGAGAATAATATTCTGATCTCCAATGAGATAAAGATCAGACTCTGGGAAGCAATGGACTATTTCTAGTTAAATGATGCAGAAAGCAGCCTGAAAGGCCTGTGCATGGTAAATGTGGTTCTAAAGGCCACTTACAACCGGATGAAAGGGCTTTTGAAACCATTCAAAAGGGCCTGGAGAGATGCATCAGTTAGTAAAGGCATGAGTTCTGACTTCCATCTCCCATGAGAAAAGCCAGGCACAGGTGTATCACTGAAATCCCACCAATGACAACACAAACCCAGCAGATACCTGTGCTCACGGGCCAGCCAAGATAGCTGAACCATTGAGACCACAGAATCACGCACCGTTGGGAAAAGTCATCCAATGTACCAATGCATAGGGGAAATTGTGCCCACTAAAAGATAAACACGCTGTAGTACTATGGGAAGAATCCCCAAACTGTAATCTGAGGGAAAGAGCTCTTCACACAAGAAGTCTGCAACAGAGACAGCCAGCACATTCAGAAGGCAGTGTTCCTTATCGTCTCGGAGATAAGGGTTAGTGAGATTTGCATCTCTGCTGACAGAACTCTTCCCTTGCTAAACTGCATAAGTATCTCTCCTGAGCTGAACCCTGAAGGTCAGCTGTGTTGTACTCTTCCTGCATAATTTTGTGGTCTGTAGATGATTAAGGCCAGACACCTAGTGTTGGCCTCTGGCCTTCACATGCACAACACACACACACACACACACACACACACACACACACACACAAACACTTAACCAATTAATTTAAAGAAGTATCCTCAGACATCCTTGGGGTTGAAACACAACCTACAGATATTCTAAAAATGAATACTCATTGGAAAATTACAGTTCTGATAGATACTTGTGTGAACAAAATTAAAATCTATACTTATCAAAGGTGTTCTAACATGGAGTTGGGATTTCAGACCCTGGACTAATGTGAAGAAGTGTGGTCGGGGGCTGGAGAGATGGCTCAGCAGTTAAGAGCACTGCCTGCTCTTCCAAAGGTCCTGAGTTCAATTCCCAGCAACCACACGGTGGCTCACAACCATCTATAATGAGGTCTGGTGCCCTCTTCTGGTATACCCTGCAGGTATACAAGCAGACAGAATACTGTATACATAATAAATAAAGAAATAAATAAATTTAAAATAAAGAAGTGTGGTCAGTATAACTTCATCAGGACATAATCCTAAGAGTCATAATCCTAAGAGTCCTTGTGCTCAGCTGGTTTGTTTCCAGCCTTCTTTCCAGGGAAAACACTCACTCCTACTTACCTTTTTTCCCTGTTAGCTCTTTTAATAGCACATTGGATGATTTCTGGGCAAGAGAAGGTTCCAGAGGCTGTAAAGTCATTATTGGTTCCTGTGACTCAGAATGCGCCTTAGATGATTCTTCAATAAACTCGTCTAGACTGGACAACACAGTGCTTGGTCCTAAACAGATTAGATATTGATGAAAAGGAGCTTCCTCTCTCCGGCTCTCAAAGGTTACAGGAGTGGAGACGTGCGAACAACAGCGAGCAAAGACGGCAGCGCCTCCCACCTCGCCAGTCCCAGTCCCGGGAGCGCACACAGCACAGGCAACAGTAAGGCTCTCAAGGGACGGGACCCCTTCCGCCAGTGCTCAGCAGGAAGTGGGGGAGAGGAACAACTCACAGAAGCAGACAACCAACTGAATGGATAAGATCTGGGAAGACATGAATCCAGAGGGTAAAGGCGAGTGAAGGAAACACACCTCCCACAAAATACTTCCAACTTTGAAGGGGGTGGGGCACATCAAAGACAAGAAAGATGATGACACAAAGAATAAGAAGTAAAACAACAAAACAACCTTGGGGCTGGGACTGCAGCTCAGCCGGGAGATGAGAACTCAGCATGTGGGAGCTCCTGAGTTTGATCCCTGAATAACAAAAAACTCTTGGTAATTTTTCAGAGGAAAATAACAAAAACCAGTAATTTCAGACATAGAAGAGATGAAAGTTGAGAAATTACACCAGAAATCGCAAAGTAATGAAAGATGAAAATTTAAAGAGAAAAGGGAAAATTATGACAATATTGGAGGAAATAATAAGATAATGTGGGGGCTGCAGAGGTGGCCCAGGGCTTGGAGCATAAGCTCCAAAAGGGCCTGAGCTTGGCTCCCAGCATCCACATCAGGTGGCTAGAACACCTTCCTGCTCCAGGGGAGCACAAGCCTCCACAAACTCCTGACTCAGCCACATATGCACACATATAATTAAAAATAAAGCAAAACATTAGACAAAACTATGTCAACTGGTGGGTATCAGTCATATTTATCTGGTTGGTTGGATGGTTTTTCAAGACAGAGTTTCTCTGTGTGGCCCTGGCTGCCCTAGAACTCATTCTCTAGATGAAGATGGCTCCAAACTCAGAGATCTACCTGCCCCTGCCTCTCAACCAAAGGGATTAAAGGTATGGATACCATGCCCAGGTCATAGTCATATCTTAAAGAACCAATAAAATCATTAATTCATTAGAGTGAGTAAGAGAGAAACAAGGCTTCTACATACAAATTCAATAAAAAAATATCTAGAATCGAGAAATAACCAGAAATTTTGTTTACTAAATAGGGTCTTATTAAATAAAGTGTTAAAATTTTAGTAAAAGACAAAGAAGGGGGCTGGAGATATGGCTCAGTGGTTAAGAGCATAGGCTGCTCTTCCAGAGGTCCTGAGTTCAATTCCCAGCAACCACATGGTGGCTCACAACCATCTGAAATAAGATCTGGTGCCCTCTTCTGGCGCATGGGCATACATGAAGGCAGAATGTTGTATACATAATAAAAATAAATAAATAAATCTTAAAAAAAAAAAGACAAAGAAGAGGCCGGGCAGTGGTGGCGCACACCTTTAATCCCAACACTCAGGAGGCAGAGGCAGGTGGATCTCTGTGAGTTCAAGGCCAGCCTGGTCTACAAAACAAGTTCCAGGACAGCTAGAGCTGTTACACAGAAACCCTGTCTCAAAAACTGGAAAAAAAAAAAAAAGAAAGAAAGAAAAAAGAAAAAAATGTAGCTACGTTTAAAAAATACACTTAATATATTCACTATAAAATCCATACAGACAAATAAAGGTCCATACATAGTTAAGTGATACAATTACATGTGAGAACCTGATATGCCAGGTATTAAGGCACAGGTCAAAACCATAACCATAAAAAGACACGTATTCAATGCTTATATATATGTTTACATCTGACAAATTTGACAGGATGACTATTCAGAGTTTGGGAGTATATACCTTACCTCAACGGGGAAGTAATACGGTTAGTAGAGATTGCAGAGAAAACTATATAGCTATCTGGACAAAAAAATAAAAATAAAATGTAATGCTCACCTAGCAGAATATTTTAAAATGGACTCCCAAAAGATCTAAACATGAGACAATTATAAAGTCGATTGAGGAAAATATTCTAAAAAAAAAAACCTCCAGCCAGGTGTGGTGACCCACGTCTGCAATCAGCACTGGGGAGACGGGGCTGAACGACACGATCAAGTCTAGCCTGTGCTACCAAGGGAACTCCTGTCTTTAAAACTATGCCTAAACTGATCCAGAACTGAAGCACAACTGGCTAACAAAACTTCATCCACATCTGCAGAATACTGTCCTCATCAAGGATATTTATCAAGACAGACTATTTGGCCCATAAAACAAGTTTCAATAATTTTGAAGAATTCAACTTAAAGAAAGTTTATTTTCCAGTCACAATGACATAACACTGTAAGTAAAAAGCAAGCAAGTGGGATGGCTCAGCGGTTAGAGCACTGGCTTCTGGCTGCTCTTCCAGAGGTCCTGAGTTCAATTCCTAGCACCCATATGGTGACTCACAACCATCTGTGATGAGATCTGGTGCCCTCTTCTGGTGAGTAGGCAACCAAGCATGAAGCTACGGATAGGCATACAGTGTTCTCGCTACACTGGGATGCAGCGTGGCAGTAAAACCAGGGAGCTGATAGAAGCAGTACACCATGGTTCAATCTCAAAATTATTACAATTGGTAAAACACCATATGAAAAGCACATAACAAATAACTAAAGAAGTTCCATTTAAAAATCCAGAATGTTTCTAGAAATCTAAAACTTAAAAACTAACAAATTTGGGCTGGTTATACGGCTCAGCAGATGAAGGTGCCTGCCTGCCATCAAGCCTGAGTTCCACACCAGGAAGTCACGTGGTGGAAGGACAGACCTGACTCCTCAAGGCTGTCCTCTGACTGCTGCATAGGTGTCAGGGTACAAATGTCTCCCAATCCAATACATAAATACATAGATGGAGCCTGGCAGTGGTGGCCCACGTCTTTAACCCCAGCACTTGGGAGGCAGAGGCAGGCAGAGCTCTGTGGGTTCAAGGCCAGCCTGGTCTACATAGAGCTAGTTCCAGGACAGGCTCAAAGCTACAGAGAAACCCTGTCTTGAAAAAAAGAATACATAGATGGAACTGTAAAATTTTAAATGCAAATTCCTCTCTAGTGACGGGGGCAGACAAAAGGCATCATGCTGGGCATGAGCACACATCATTATCTTGATTGTGATGATGTTTTCATCTATGCTTTCTAAACTGACCTAAAATGTGTGCAGTTTGTGAAATTTCAATTGAAATTTCCTCAAATCACCTTAAAATTTGAATGTTCACAGAATAACAATGCATGTATGCAAGAAACACACAAGCAAAGACACATAAAAGAAATATCACAGTGATTGATTTCTTAAAATACATGAAAAATAGCCGGAGGGTTGACTCAGTGGGTAGGACCACCCGCTGCTCCTGCAGAATACCCAGGTTTAGATCCCAGCACCCACAACTGTCAGCTCCCAGTGGTTCTAGGGCATCTGGCAACTCCTTCTGAACTCTACGAACACCCGTGTGCCTGCAATGTACATACTGATATGCAGGGACACATATGCTTATAAGATAAATAAATGTAGTCAGGCGATGGTGGCTCACGCCTTTAATCCTAGTACTCGGGAGGCAGAGGCAGGCAGATCTCTGTGAGTTCGAGGCCAGCCTGGTCTACAAGAGCTAGTTCCAGGACAGGCTCCAAAGCTACAGAGAAATCCTGTCTCAAAAAAACCAAAATAAATAAATAAATCTAAAAAAAAAATCTTTACAATATACAGGGATAGAGGACAGGGGAAGGAAATGATTAGACAATAGATACATTTAAGAATTACATGGTAGGGAGAAAAGGACAAAAGAAAAACATTTTAATGTATTCAGAACAGTATCCACTTTTTTTTGTTTTGTTTTTTTGTTTGTTTTTGGTTTTTCAAGACAGGGTTTCTCTGTAGCTTTGGAGCCTGTCCTGGAACTAGCTCTATGTAGACCAGGCTGGCCTTGAACTCACAGAGATCTGCCTATCTCTGCCTCCCCAGTGCTGGGATTAAAGGCATGTGCCACCACCATTCAGCTTCAATACCTATTTTTAAGGGATACTGATGAAGGGAGTAAATTTTATATGGTATGAAATATCAGCAGATATTTCTGGCCAGTTCCCTGATAATGAGTTATTAATAAGCATGGTGCCTCCCGATACCGCTGAAATGACTGAAACTTTCAGTATTTGTTGAACAAACACTGACTTTGCCTACTTTGTGACAGGCCCTACTCCTAGGCCAGTAAGTTTCCGACGGACACTTCCCATCCCCACATTCACTCCCACCTGTCAGGCCTTCTGATTTCATGGCTGTGGCCGAATCGTGCATGGCTCCCCAAGGGCCAAAACTGTGCTCCATCTTCACGCCATCGTCAATATTCTCTACGGTACCAGCACTCTTTAGCTTTGTTTGCAGGGTTCGTGCCTGAAGCTGTTTGAAGGCCTCGTGAAATGCCATTTCCATTCGAATGTCATTATTCTGAATTTCATAGAACAACCCTGAGGAAATGAAGATGAGACAGAGCGCTCACCTCCCAACAGTGTGGATGAGGGTGGGCACCTTTCATTTCTCTTTGCTCTGTTTTCCTAGAGTTTAAAACCACATCCAGTTGTTTGCACCATTAATCCCAGCAATTGGAAGGCAGATGGATCTCTGAGAGTCTGTGGCCAGCCTGGTACATCCAGGGCTACACAAAGAAACCTTGTCTCAAACTCCTTACTCCCCTCCCCTAAAAAAAATCCTACATCTTCAGTCACTAAATAGGGAGAAATAATCTGGTGATGGAGGAAAGCCCACATGCACACCAGGGCAACAACCTACCGAGTAAAGTCCAGGCGATAACACTGGTAGGCTCCAAGCACGTAGCATCCTCAAAGAAGATTTCTGCTTGCTCATAGTTCTCCATCAAGACAGCCAGGACACCACACAGCAACAAGCTGGGAAGAGACCCGCTAGCACGGTTAGCAGTCTGGTCCTAGGTCATGTTGCAGTTTATCTGCTCCTACTCATTGTTCTCCCTTTCCCTTCTACCTGTGAATATGACTCTCGTTCAGAGAAAGGGCTTTCCGGAAACACTCCTGTGCTTTTGTGATGTCTTCTGTGAGGAGGCAAAAGGCACCATAATCCAGCCAGTGATCCAGGTTCTGGGGTTCACGGACCAACCTCTAGGCACACAAAGTATTGGGAGGGACAGGGTTATTGCGACACTATGCCCCACTTTTTGTGTATACTACACAGTAAATGCCCCATAAATACCATATATTATGAAAGTCAAAAACCATCACTTTTCTTTTTTTTGTTTTTTTTTGTTTTTTTTTGTTTTGTTTTGTTTTTTTTCATCACTTTTCTTTTGCTTACATAGGACCCAGAGGACCAGCTAGAAGTGCTGTTCTAGCTTTGAGTATAAGGTCAAAAAATTGACATGACCTAAAAATAGAATCCGCAAGAGATTTATTCCTGAACTCAATCAGTGCCTCCGGAACTAAGGACTTACTTGAATAGCTAATGATACTGCCATAATCTTGAGATGGAAAATACATACAGTTATCTATAAATGCAAGGAAAAGGATACCTTGTGTAAATGAAAACTATAAACACGGTTTAAAGAAATGAAAGAAAGCTTGGATAAATGGAAGGACACCTGAGTTCAGATCAGGATAGGGAGAGTTGATGTTAAGATGCCAATGCTGCTAAGAGCAACCTACAGATGAGGCCAGTCCTGTCAAAATCCCAATGGAAATCCTTCAAAAGTTAAATACAGAATCACTGTAAGTCACTGTAATTCCACTCTTAAGTGTACCCAAAATAATTAAAACAGACACTTACTACTTTTATAAAAATGGTGCATTTTGAGTCTTTTGTTTGTTTGTTTGTTTGTTTAGAGATAGGGTCTCACTATATAGCTCTAACTGTTCTGGAATTTACTATGTAGATGAAGCAGGCCTTGAACTCACAGAGATCCACCTGCCTCTGCCTCCCAAGTCTTGGGATTAAAGAAATGCCACAATACCTGGCTGCATTTGGAGTCTTAAATTATGAATAAAAGTTGTTTGAAAAATACATGTTCTGCTTCTCCTAATCTGTACTTTTGTAGCCCTGGCTAGCTTGGAACTTGTTATATAGCCCAAGCTGACTTCCAATTTATAGCAGTCATCCTGCTCTGCCTTCTGGAGCTAATCTTCTGTCCTTTGGTCTTCTGTCAAAGACCCTATAAGACCTGGTCAAGGAGATTTACTACTATGTTTCTTTAGAACAATCCATGTTTTACATTTAGATTAATTATCCATTTATCATTGATTTTTGCAAAATGTTTAAAGTAAGATTCATTCATTTTGCATGTGGACTGCCAACTGTTCTCATTTGTTGAAACAACTCATTTCTACATTGAATTTATTGTACAGTTTCATCAAAAATCAAATGACTTGGCTGCCTGGGAGATGGCGTTCATCATGCAACATAAGAGCCGGATTTCAGATCCTAGCACTCAAGTAGAAGCCAGACAAGTATGATAATCTGTAATCTCAGATCTGTAATCTCAGAATGAGAGACAGAGACATAGGAGGTTGAAACAGGAAGATCTCATAGATGTACAGAGAGACCTTGTCTCAAAATCCCAAAGCCTGAACTGGGGATACAGTTCATCTGGTACAGTGCTTGCCAAGCATGCTCACGGCTTGTGTTGGATCTCCAATACCACATGAACTGTGAGTGTTGTAGGTGCTGCTGTGATCCTAATACTGGGGAGGTAGAGGCAGGAAGAAGAGAAATTCAAGTTCGTCCTTAGCTATATGTAGTGAGTTCAGTTAAGGTCAGCCTTGAATAAATGAGACAAAACCAAACCAAAACACCAAATGATCTTATTCATATGATCATATTTTTGGTCTCCCTCTACTGATCTGTGTCTACTTTGTTACTGGGCAAGTTTGATGTTAATAGCAAACTACCATTTTACATAGATTCACAAATAATAACAATAATCACCATTGAAATATTTAGCTACCTCTTCATAATATACTGCTGCCATTTCAAAATTCTCATTGACTTCTGCCTCAAATGCGAAGAGTCGAAGCTGCTCACTGCTGGTGTGAATCGTTGAGGCGGTGCCTTGCATGCCATCTGGCATGGACTTGTCATTGAGATGGTAAACAAACAGAAAGAAACAATTATGAGAATAAACTGGTTGCGAGATCCAACCATCACATTAAATGAGACTGCAGTGTGTGTGTGTGCACATGCATGTGCAATCATGTAGGAATAGAGTACACTTGTCTTGAATGTACTCTGTAGACACTGCAAATCTTTAACTTTCAATCCTCCTGTCTCAGTCTACTGAGTAACTCGTATTTCATGCTCACAGCTACTAGGCCAAGTCCCATCACTTGAGTAAGGAGCTATTTCAGAGTAGTAATAGAAAGGCTAGGCTAAGCACAGTGGGCACTTGAGAGGGGACAGAAAGATCAGTTCAAGGCCAGCCTTGGCTACATAGCAAGTTTAGGGCTAACCTAGATTATGTGAAACATTATCACAAGGAAGAAAGGAAAGAGAAAAGAGAAGTCATTAGACAAACAAGCCTAATTTTTTTTAAGGTAGTGGAGATTGAACCTAAGACTTTACACATGCCAGGTAAATGCTCTACCACTGAGCTATGTCTCCAGCCTAAACCCTCACCTTTCATCTTCCCACTGAAATTGTTTCCATCTGTGGCTCTGTCCTTTTGATCTCAAGGAAGAGTCACCCAACGCTTTCTCCTTTTCACGTCTAATCCTTCCACTTCAAACCTAGGTTCTTTCATAGTTGTATACCTGGGACTTTCTAACAATAGTTTCCTCCATTTACCTGATTTTTTTGTTTGTTTTCCTTGATAGAGCTTTTCTGTACAATATTAATATAATCAAACTATATTCCAGTATGAGTAATTCAAGTCATTGTTCCAAAATTATTTTATGCCTATGGGTGTTTTGCCTGCTAAAGGCTGTTCACCATGTGCATACTCGGTACCCATGGAGGCCAGAAGAGGACATCAGATCCCCTGGAACTGGAGTGACAGGCGGTTGTGAGCCACCATGTAGGTGCTGGAGAGCAGCCAGTGCTCTTAACAGTTATTGAGTCATTCCTCTGACCTTGCAAATGTTCTTTGTGTAGCATTCAAGGCGTCCCCTCCATACCCCAAAACCCTCATCAGGAATGGATCCCCAGCTTCAAGTCCTGCTTCTCCAACTCGAGACAACTTCAGCCTCTGCTCTGGAACTCTGTGAACTTTCTGTATTTGCTGCGTTCTTAAACTCTTAAGCCTTGTGATGGACCTGGTGACTCGATGCTCTTGAGCCACCTGAAGATGTCTGCAACTTTGAAGGCCCGGCTCAAGCCACAATTCTTTCATGAAGCCTTCCCTGAAAGGTCCCAGCATCACACAGGCCTCTGGCCTGCTCTGTGGAGATGGATATTCTCCAACCCAGCACTTATATCATTTGTGTTTTGTGCTTGTCTCCTCTCCTGAACAAAGGTTCCCTGGGGACAGAGGCAGCAGCAAATCCCATCTCATGTCAACGGTCAAGAATTTTCCAAACAAATCCTATATATCACCTGTGTCTGTGTCTAAGCGGGACTGCCCTTTTAGTCCTATACGACTGTACTCTCCTGCCTACCTATCCCAGGAAGACTGAAGCATGTGAAGGGAAAGACTGGGTGGCAGGAGTAAAACCAGTGAAGGAAGAGAAAAGCAGACAGAGACTGTGAAGTGGCCCAGCCAGCCAGAGACTCCCTGGCCATGATAAGATTTGATTTGTCACTGTTCACATCAGGTAACAGCTAACTACATGCAGGAAGGCATAAACGCAGGCAAGAAGCCAACTGTACAAATCCAGGCACAAGAAGACAAGTAGGAAGAAAGAGGATCATCAGCCACTAAAATGGATGTCCTGAGCTGACAAGATGTCTCAGTGGGTAAAGGAAGCTGCTGATAATTCTAATGACCTGAGCTGGTCCCTGAGAACCACACAATGGCAGGAGGAATCTCGACATGTGCACAACATGGCAATACACATACAAAATAAATAAAAATAAAAATGTATTTAAAAAATTAAAGGTGTATTTTAATTGCTACCGTCATCTTCACAGTAACATAACTTTTAAGATACCCAGACACAGCTTTCCTTTATTTTTATTATCCTGAAGAAAACTGAGACTTGTGCACATTAATAAAATAATGTTTTGTTTCACAATTTCCATAGATTTTATTTAACAATTCTGCCACATTAAAAATCTTTTATTTTATTTAGGTACATGCTTATTTTGGTGCCTGCATGTCTGTGTCTGAGTCTAGCTGAGGGTTCAGAAGCCTGGGAATTAGACTTATAGTTGTGAGCCACCACATGGGTGCCAGGAATCAAATTTGTATCCTCTGGAGGAGGACCGATATTCCTAACTGCTGAGCCATCTCTCCGGTCCCATGTAACATTTTTGAAATCTAGAGAACCAGTTTTTCTGGGTGACTGAAGGAGCAGGCATGGTCAGTACCTTGTACAGAACAGACTATTTCATCAGCTCTGCTGACTAAAGGAAGGGAGTAAACCAAGAAGAGAGCAGTGTTTCAAAAGAAGCCCTGCTGTTCTCCTCGGGAAGTGGGCTCTGAGCTGTAAACACCTACCTGGTTTAAGGCCACATGCATTTGATCTACCAAGAACACATAAAGCTCACTGATAAATGTCTGCAGCTCCTCCTGGCTTTCAAATGCTGTCGTCTTCAAGTATTTCTCTCTCACAATCTTTACCACCGCGTGCTGCAAGACATACACATTCCCTTCTGATGATGCGATTCAGCAGTGTACCCACACTTTCTCCCGTGTTAATTATGGGGCTCTCAGTTCACTAAGAACTCCCCAGTCAACATGTCCTGAATGGCTTTATTCATTTAAAGACAGAGTCTCACTATGTAGCCCAGGCTGGCCCGGAATGCACTATGCAGCCCACGGTGCTATTGAACTCACTTCTCCTGCCTCTATCTCCCAATACATTGTGCCTCAAGACTGGGTTGTAAGAAATTCTTTTCCTGATTCTACAACATCACTAACAGGGGAAAGGCAGTGCACATGCTGTGGGAAAAGGATCTACAGCATCTCTAACAGGGGAAGGCAGTGCACATGCTGTGGAAAAAGGATCATGGAGCAGAAAAAAAACCTTTGGAGTAGGTTTGAGAGTTGTGCCTTTCCCAGCAGCTCTGTGTGTAAGGGAGAAAGGGGGAAACTGAGGCCTGAAAGACTAGAGAATGTGATTCTGCTTTAAATACTGTCACCATGCAACCTCTTATGTTCTATTTTGTACATCAGTTTCCTCTTTGTTAAGTGAATACGTAACTCCAATATTGCACCATACTTTAAGATGGCGATTGAGAAGCTGAACAAAGTAAACAGGAGAAGTTTGAAATGTTACATAAAGCTGAGTGTGGTGTTATGGGTCTGTAAAGTCAGCACTAGGGTGGCAAAGTCGGAGAGAGCCATAATTCAAGGCAGCCAAGGTTGTATGCCAGACCCAGCCTAAAAGCAAAATTATACAAATACAGTAGTCTTTCTGTATCCACAGTTTCAGTTATCTCTGCTCAATTCCAGTTTGAAAACAAGTGGAAAATTCCAGAAACAAGCAATCCGTAAGCTTTAAGTTGAGCTGTGTTCTGGGTAAATGCAGAAGTCTCATACTAGATCTAGCTCCTTGGATCTGAAGCTCAGCACTTCGTACCCATGTCCTAAGCACCCAGTAGGCATGTTGTTCTCAGATTGACAGCTAATTCCAGCAGCCCCTAACTTAATAAAGCCACCAAAGCAGCAGCAGTGAGTGATGCACGCAATATGGATACACCAAAGAGAAGCCATAAAGTGCTCCCTTTAAGTTAGGAAAAAATACATGGTTCAGCATTACCCATAGTTCGAAAATATTTACTTACTTATATTTTTATGTGTATGGGTGCTTTATATGTATATGTTGCCTGCATATATGCCTGTGTATCACATGTGTGCCTGATGCCCATAGAGGCCAGAAGATGACACCAGATTCCCTGAAACTAGAGTTACAGACGGCTGTGAGCCTCCATGTGGGTGCTGGGAACCAAATGTGAATTCTTTAGAAGAGAAGTCAGTGTTCTTGATTGCTGAGCCATTGCTTCAGCTCCTTATCCAAAGTTCTGAGCATCTACTGGGGATCTCAGATCTCCATTGCTGGGGATAATAATATATAAGCACAGTATTATGGTACAGTCTGGCAGTTACTGTTTTTTCCCCCTTAAGTCAGGTTATATATTGAACACCTTCATCATATTAATACTAATAATAACCCCATGTGATAATATTATTATCTCTTGTTGATCAAAAATAACCCATCTCCCAAACTAAAAAATGCTCTAGAATGAATAATAGTCATTATTATTTAATAAACTATTTTGAAAGACTTTTAGCTTTTTTGTTTGTTTTGATTCACCTCCTGAGAGCTAGGATTACCGGTGTGCAGCACCAGTTCTCAATTCTTAATTCTACCGTCAAGGAGACTTCAATGAGAGATATGTAGAATTCATGTCAAGAACATAATTTCTTCTAGCAGGCAGAGGGTGGTGTCTGGTCTCGAGGCCAGCCTGGAGTGAAGATGAGGTCTTACGAGCTCTCATTTGGAATAAATACTGCACATTTTCCCCCAGAGGACTCATCCGAGCAGAGCCAGAGCAGAAACTACTAAACAGGTCCTACAGAAGGGACTCCCGAGGCTGGTCACGTAACTAAGGAAATGTGTGCTTCACCTTGAGCTGTTCTTTGAAAGCAAAGTACTTTCCAGAGCAGTTGAGCTCATAGTTGAGCTGGCACTTCTGCTCCTCCAAGGTTTCACTGTCCACATCACTTCCCACTTTGATCACTTGCTTTCCAAACATTCGGTGGTATTCATCCAGGATGGCTCTGGAAATGCTCTTGATCTGTGTGTGGTAATCACTCACTGCCTGGAAGACAACGAATGGCAGTAAGAAGGCCTCAAAGATGCCCAGATCACAGATGAGAAGTCCTAAATCACATTAGCTATAAAAACTGTCCTTTTCCGCTGGGCCAGATTACACACTGTATGTGATTCACTGATCACAAATGAAACTGAATGAAAGCCTGAGAAGCCCTAAGAGGCTCCTCTCCTCTGGAAGCCACTCTTCACACCACCTTCAAATGCCCACAGCTTTGCCCCAGCATTAACACCTACCTTCTGAGCTCCCCCTGTCCGGCGGGTGAGAGGTGGCCTTGGAGGTATCATTTCCTTGACCCTGTATCATGAAAAAACAATAAAACCTTTATTATCGGCAGGCCTATGTTCTTTTCTACTTCCCCCGAGTTCATGTGGAGGAGATCTGGTATCTGTCTCTCCAGTGCACTTGAGCATTGCTAGGCTCTCTCACATAGAGATCTAAGCCCTAGTGCAGTATAGAAGACAGTACTAATTGGAGCCCTGGCCTTATCCTCATACTTTTTCTTAAAGTATTGCTAAGTGGCCTCTGGGTATTATATCTGTAATATATACCCAGACTAAGGGCTGGGTATTATATCTGTCTGTGTTTCTGAAAGGACACAGATTTGTAAAACTAAAAATTGTCTTTCCACCTAGATTAAAAAGCTTCTGTTTTATTTTTTTATTTATTTATTCGTTTGTTTGCTTGTTTTGAAGCAGGGTTTTTCTGTAGCTTTGGAGCCTATCCTGGAACTAGCTCTTGTAGACCAGGCTAGACTCGAACTCACAGAGATCCGCCTGCCTCTGCCTCCGGAGTGCTGGGATTAAAGGCATGCGCCACCACTGCCCAGCTTTGTGAGTTTTTTTTAAAAGATGTATTTTTTATGTATATGAGTGCTCTATCTTCATGTACACCTTTATGCCAGAAAGGGGCATCAGATCCCCTTATAGACAGCTGTGAGCCACCATGTGGTTGCTGGGAATTGGACTTGGAATCTCTGGAAGAGCAGCCAGTGTTCTTAACTGCTGAGCCATGTCTCCAGCCCTAAAAAGTATGTTCTTAATCTTAAGTTATAGAACTGCTTTATTAAATTACAATGATGTCATCAGACTCTAACAGAACTTTTTTTTTTTTAAGGTTTACTTGCTTGAATCAGGTTGTGGTAGTACATACCTTTAATCTCAGCATTTGGGGAGCAGAACTAGGGGGATCTCTGTGAATTCGAGGCCAGCCTGATCTACAGAGTGAATTTCATTCAGTACAGCCAGAGCTACACAGAGAAACTCTGCCTCAAAAATAAATAAACAAATAAAATCAAGGAAGGAAGAAAAAAATTTACTTGTTTTTATTTTATATGTATGAGTGTTTGGCTAGTATCTAAAGAGACCAAAAGAGGGCATTGGATCCTCTAGAACTGTAGTAACGTGCAGTTGTTAGCCACCATGTAGGTGCTGATAACCAAACTCAGGTCCTCTGAAAGAGTATCCACTCCAGAGACAGTATTATCAATTCATTGAAAATATGTGGTAAGTTCCTACTGTCCATCAAGAGCTTTTCTAGTCCTGGGGATGGAACTAAACAACACAAAAACTTTGCCTTTATGGAGTTTACTTTCTGGTTGTGAAAGAAAACCATTAAGATAAACACAATATAAGCATGCGCCATGGGGGATGATGCAAGGAGGCCCAGGCTGGTGGAGCAGAAGAGCAGTAGGAAAGGCCACTGAAAACAATGCTCTAAGGGTAAAGACCCAAGGGAAGGGAGAGGCAAATTCATGTGATATTCAGGATAGGGGTATTTCAGGCAAAGTAGCAGCCAGTGTAAAGAGCTTACAACAGGAGCTTCAGGCTTGGTGAACGCCTTTAATCCCAGCACTAAGGAAGCACAGACAGGTGGGTGGATTTTTGTGAGTTCAAGGCCATCCTGGTCTACTTATTGAGTTCAGAACAGCCAGAGCTACATAATGAGACCCTGTCTCAAAAACAAAACAAACAATAACAAAAATGAGCCTCCCATGTGAACAATAGAAAAGGTATTGGTTTGGTTGGACTGAAGAAGCAAGGGCAAAGTACAGGCAGAATATATAGACCATAATGTTTAAAAAATAAAGTAAAAGTGATTGAAGAAGACAGCTGACACTGCCCTCTGGCCTTGTATACAGGTATGTATTTTTCATACATACTTGAAAAATCAAGTGAAAATAAGAAGTTAATATTCCAAAATTGATGGGCTGTAGGGAATATAGTTCCCAGAGGAGAATTTCTAATTCTAAATGGTAAATTTAAAAAGAAGAAAGGGGCTGGGGATGCAGCACAGTTGGTAGAATGTTTGCTTACTATGCAAAATACCCTAGGTTTGATCACTAACACTGCATAAAACCAGGTTTGGTGGTGCACACCTGCAACTGAGGAAGTGCAGACAGGAGGATTAGAAGTCAGAGGCTGCCCTTGGTTACACAATCCAGGACACATGAAACTCAGTTTTAAGACAGAACAAAAACAGAAGAAAGCCCACAAAGCATAACTTAATTATACTCCTTCCAGACAGAGAAAAAGAGAGCAAAAATTGTCCTATGTTTTAAGGAAGGAAGGTTTTTTAAAAAAAGATTAGAAGAATTGATTTAGGCCAGCCTGGTCTACAAGAGCTAGTTCCAGGACAGGCTCCAAAGCTACAGAGAAACCCTGTCTCGAAAAAAAAAAAAAAAAAAAAAAGAAGAAGAATTGATTTTAAAAAAAAAATAGGGAAGAGAAAAACAATAGAAGAAAACCACCAAGATTAAAAATAAAAAGATGGTTCATTTTAAAGAGCAAAAAGCTGAGGCTGGAGAGATGACTCTGTGGTTAAGAACACACGCTGTCCTTGCAGAGGACCTGAACTCAGTTCTCAGCACCATGCCAGGCATCTCACAGCCACCTGTAGCTACAGCACCAAGAGCTCCAACACCTTCTTCTGGGCTCTGCAGGCACTTGCAACTCATGTGCCCCCCCACACACACAACACACACTCACGTAAATTAAAACCCTAAGGATAAAAGCTGAGAGTAGTGGTACAATGCTTTGACCTCAGTGCTTGGAAGGCAGAGGAGGAGCAACTCTGGATTCAAGGCCAACCTGGTTTACATAGCAAGTTCCAGAGCTATAGAGCCTATCTCAAAACAATTCAAAACAACCACACAGACAGACAGACAGACACATGAAATAGAAAATAACAAAAGAAAAAAAAAGAAAGGAAGGAAGGAAAGGAGGAAGGGAGAGAAGTTGAGAGGGAAGGAGAGAGAAGAGAAGAGAGAGAGAGAGAGAGAGAGAGAGAGAGAAATATAGAGAGAGAGAGAGGCTGGATGGTGGTAGCACATGCCTGATGTGGGATTCCTCTCTGTATGGTGTGAATATGTTTTATTACTTTTTTTTTTTTGCTGCTTTAGCCTATGGCAGGCAGACTATAGCAAGAAGAGAAATTAAGCAGAAATAGAGGAGGAAAGAAAATAGAGTTTGAGAGACTCCATGTAGCTGCCCAAGAAGCAAGAGGTAACAAACCACGAGCCTCGTGGTAAAATATAAAATAATAGAAACGGAGCCAGGAGGTGGTGGCACACACCTTTAATCCCACCACTTGAAAGGTCAGGTAGATTTCTGTAACTTTAAGATCAGTGTGATCTACAAGAGCTAGTTCCAAGACAGGCTCCAAAGATACAGAGAAACCCTGTCTGGGGGAAAAAAAGAAAAAAAAAAAAGAAAGGAAGGAAGGAATAAATAAATTTGGAACTGAGATTGGCTCACAACCATCTGTAACTCCAGTTCCAGGTATTCTGATGCCCTCTTCTGGCCTCCATCTGCGCGCGCGCGCACACACACACACACACACACACACACGCACATGCATGCAGACAAAATATTCATACATATAAAATAATAAGTTGAAAAGAGAAAAACTGACAAAACTTTAGCAAGACTCACAATAAAGAAAGATAAATCAGAGATAAAATGCTGATGAAATAGTAACGTTGGAGCAGTACAGCAGCAAGCTCTAGGGCGCAGTCTTGTCTGCCACTCGCACACTGAGGGCAGGGTCTCTCACTCTCACAGCAGAGCGAGGCATATGGTGGGAGCAGAGCAGGCGGCTTGCGGTTGGTCAGAACAACTGCAGTGGCATCTAATCTGTCCTGTATCAGTGAGTGCTCACCCTACTTTGAACCTCTCCCAGACTCGTGGATTCACACTGCAGAGCTCTGTGAGTTCAAGGCCAGTCTGGTTGGTCTACAAATCAAGTTCCAGGACAGCTAGGGCTACACAGAGAAACCCTTTCTCAAAAAAACAAATAAACAAAAAATAGTAACATATTTCATATATAATATACACAATATAATAATGCATAAAAAGCATGATGACAGAGGATAAAAACCGTTTTCGAGAATCACTGTATATGCATGTGCACTACATATGCATGCATTTGTAGCACATGGCTTTAAAGCAACTCCCAGAAAGATCCAAAGTGGGAAAATACTGCAACGGAACAGTAGGAATCTGAGTGTTTTATACTTTCTTGCTCATGTCAACTAAAAAAATTTAATGATGCTTTGCAATGAGGAAACAATAGTAGAATAAACTCTATCTGTAAAAAACAAAACAAAACAACAACAAAAAACCCCAAAAACACTGTTGCTTAGGACAAGGGAAATATATTTGTTGGGACAAGCTTCTTCATTCCTAAACTGCCAAATGCAATAAGCATTCCACACCTTCTGGCCAGCTCTTCTGGCATCCGCTTTGGAACTAAGGCTTTGTCCAGCTGAATCTCCAAGACAATGTATGTCCCCGCTTCCAAATATTGCTGCAAAGACATTGTTTGTTATTGGTAAATCTCATAAATAGACAGTAATGAATCACTCTTAGTAATATCAGGAACATGAACTGCATATGAAGTGTGGTCTCCATGGCTCTAATGTTTTACAGGGGATAATAATTTGACAGGAATATAGCAATAGGGGTTAACTCATGAAAGAAAGTGTTTTCCTGTCTGTTCTTGGAAATTTCCACTCCAGTGGATCCTACTGAACCTTTTAAAAATTTTAACCTTTCTCTCTCTCTTTCTTTTTTTCCTTCCTTCCTTTCTTTCCTTCCTCAACTTCCTTCCTTCCTTTCTTTTCTTCCTCTCCTTCCTTTCCTTCCTTCCTTTCTTTCCTTCCTCTCCTCCCTTTCCTTCCTTCCTTTCTCTCCTTCCTCTCCTTCCTTCCTTCCTTCCTTCCTTCCTTCCTTCCTTTCTTTCCTTCCTCTCCTTCCTTTCCTTCCTTCCTTTCTCTCCTTTCTCTCCTTCCTCTCCTTCCTTCCTTCCTTCCTTCCTTCCTTCCTTCCTTTCTTTCCTTCCTCTCCTTCCTTCCTTCCTTCCTTTCCTTCCTTCCTTCCTTCCTTCCTTTCTCTTTTTATTGGTTTTTTGAGACAGGGATTCTCTGTGTAGCTTTGGTGCCTGTCCTGGAACTCACTCTGTAGACCAAGCTGGCCTAGAACTCACAGAGATCCACCAGTCTCTGCCTCCCAAGTGCTGGGATTAAATGTGTGTGCACCACCTTCCAGCTCCTTATTTTCTTTTTCCTTTTTTTAAAATATTTATCTTATTTATTATGTATACAATATTCTGTCTGTGTGTATGCCTGCTGGCCAGAAGAGGGCACCAGACTTCATTACAGATGGTTGTAAGCCACCATGTGGTTGCCGAGAATTGAACTCAGGACCTTTGGAAGAGCAGGCAATGCTCTTATCCTCTGAGCCATCTCTCCAGCCCCCTCCTTATTTTCTTTTTGAGACAAAATTTCACTATGCAGCCCTGGTTGGCCTGGTGCTGTCTGTGTGGGCCAGGGCCCAGAACTCACAGAAACCTCCTGACTCTCCAGTGTTGGTATTAAAGACATCTACCACCATGCCTGGCCAACTCCTTCACGTTTGTCTGGAACTCCAGCAGCCCTCTCATGTTTAAGTTTTGTCTTTAACTCCTTATATCTTCCTAGTCTTAACCACCCACCAACTCTGACTGCTGAACGCGTTTACCCAGACTTATTTTTGCCAGCATCCTAAATGCAGCTCTCTGGTGTATCTATGCTTCTTTTTGAAGCTTCTCTTAATGATGTCAACCTTCTACAAAGCAACACCTGAAACCTGAGCTGTCTTTGATTTTTCTTCATCAATCTCCCTGTCCCCACAAACTTTCCAAGCCCAAAACCTGGACCCTGTAGGCCGCTGACTTTCTTTGCTTCAACTCCTTTCCCAAATCCAACTGTCGTCAGTGTGCAAGTGTACGGTAAGAAAGTCCTGCATGCCCCCCCCGCCATCTTCTGTATGAAACCTGGACCAGAAGTCTGAGGTATACCTTTAATCCCAGCACTTGGGAGGCAGAGGCAGGTAGATCTCTGTGAGTTTAAGACCAGCCTGGTCTACAGAGTAAGTTCCAGGACAGCCAGGGCTATGCAGAGAAACCCTCCCTTGAAAAACCTGAGAAAAGAAGGAAGAGGAGGAGATGGAGAAGGAAGAAGTTGCAGCAGCAGAAGCAGCAGTAGTAAAAGTAATAGTCTGGCTTGCAACACACTTTCTAATTCACCATCATTACAATCCTAATGTCTGTGAGTCAAACCTTTGGCACAGATAATGTAGACGGCTTACTGAGCTCTCTTTAGGTCCTGTATCCAATGCCCAGCTCATAAAGTGGCAAGATGGAGCTCAAGAGTCTCCTGCAGAATGAAGTTTAAACATCACAGCAAGCTGTTCAGGTTCTCCAGACTCTGTCTTTCCCTACCTGCCACTTCTCTCTACAGTGGTTCTCAATCTTCCTAATGCTGCAACACTAACACAGTTCCTCATGTTGTGGAATCATAAAATTCCACAATCATAAAATTATTTTCACTGCTACCTCATAACTGTAATTTTGTTGCTGTTATGAATCATAATGCAAATATCTATGTTTTCCGATGGTCTTTGGGGGTCACAGCCCACAGGTTGAGAACTGCTGCTCTTTCCATCCCCCTATATCATACCCTGGATTCGTTGATCTAATTTTTCTCTGTGCCTTCACTCAAGCTGTTCTCTGACCATGGAAGACCTCGCTCTGCCATCACTGTCATTCACTGTGTTTGGGTTCACCTTCTCTGTAGTGATTTCCCTGGGGCGACTCCATCCCAACCTCGTCTCCTCTGAGTCTAGCAAGAACTTTCTTTCACTGCTATTTCTGTTTCGGCACCCACCAACATTCTGAGTCACAGCTAAGAAGATCAATCGGGGTAGGAGAGCAGGGGGTCTTGAGGGCAGATTTCTGGTGTTCAATGTAGACTTAATGAAACATAAAACTTAATTTTGGAAAAGACCTTAAACACAATCCGGTACCAACTTGCCCAGGGTCATAGGCTACTCCAGGTGACTCATGTCCCACCTTCCACATTTTCCTCTAAAGCTGTCATGCTCAGTGAAGGGCTGGTGAAGTGAAGTGAAATTTCATTTCTAAAATGTTGAGCATAGTTACCTGTCCTTCTAGATTGTGGCTCAGAGGGGTTTCGCCTTCAAGAGGAGTATCTGAGCTCTGGGATTTTATGCTAGGTGCTTGCTGAAACAAAAAGAAACATCAAAACTTGGACTCTTTCATGGCCTTCATAGCAGTAGGGACATTAAAATGCAAAATACATCAATACAATACACCAAATGGGAAGTGAATGCAAGAGTCTACTTAAAGTCTAAGAGCCTACCAAGTCCCCAGGTCGAGCCCGTCCATCTATCTCCTTGTCTTTCACTGCTTTCTCTTCTTTCAGATTCTTGGAAACAGGTTTCGACAGTGGGGAGTTAAGACCCCCTGCTTTATTATTGTGAACCAGATGGTGCCCAGTGTCCCTGAATATGCTGAACAAACATTTGGTCTGAAAGGAAGGAAAGGAACAAAAACAAGTCATAGGTAAAGGGGCCACCCAAGGGGGTCATTTTCTCCAGATCACTTCAGCATCCAGAAACAGAGACCCGAAGAACCTCATTACATCCCTCACTTGTAGAACATAGAAAACCTCCACAGGAAATCAGTGGTCTTCCTGCGATTTAAAGTGGTAAGAGGAGACCCCACAGCTGTACTTGGTTTTGATACAGGCCAGAAGAGGGCACCAGATCTCATTACAGAGCTACCAGGTGGTGTTAGCGAGGGGGGCACTGCTTGTTCATCCCGGCTAACTTAACCCCAAAATAACCACACAGAAATTGTGCTAATTAAATCACTGCTTGGACCATTAGTTCTAGCCTCTTATTGGCTAACTCTCACATCTTGATTTAACCCATTTCTATTAATCTGTATATAGCTACATAGCAGTGATTTAACGGGAAAGATTCAGCATGTCCATCTCTGGCGGCTCCATGGTGTTCTTCTCTGACTCTGCTTTCTTCCTCTCACAATTCATTTAATTTTCCCCACCTATCTAAGTTCTGCCCTATCAAGGGCCCAAAGCAGTTTCTTTATTAACCAATGAAAGCAACACAAATACAGAAGGACCTCCTACACCATTGTGGTTGCTGGGAATTGAACTCAGGACCTGTGGAACAGCAACCAGTGCTCTTAACCTCTGAGCCATCTCTCCAGTTTCTGGAATCATAATCCTTGTCTTCAGAAAAATTTTAATCTTTGACACACAATTCTGAATTACTTCAGTAAATAACTCATTTATATAGAAGAGACAATATTTGTCTAATTGTTATTCACTAATTAATTTATAATTGAAAGAATGAGGCAAGTTTAAAGTTCACAATAAAATCTTGGTATGGTTCAAACCACAGTTGAATTTGTCATGTTTTCTAAGGGAAAGTAACCCCTGAGAAATTTAACAACAATGTATTGTGTAATCATTGCAAAGACAGTGTTTTTCTCATACATACATCCCTACCACAGCTTCCCCTCACTCCAGTCCTCCTACTGCCCCCACTACACACCACCTCTCTCTCCCTTATCCACTCCTTCTCCATTTCCTCTTTAGAAAAGAGCAGGCCTCCAAGAGACAACAGCCAAACAGGACAAAACAAGATACAATTAGACAAGGCAAAAGCCCTCATATTGAGACTAGACAAGTCAACCCAATAGGAGGAAAAGAGTCCTAAGGGCAGGCAAAAGAGTCAGGGATATGCCCACTCCCACAAGAACACCAAGCCAACAGCCACAACACATATACAGAAGGCCTACACCAGTCTGCACCAGATCCTCTCCATATAGATCATGGCTTCCACTTTAATGTTTTTATGGGATTATGAGTGTGTGAACTAGTGGGTTTCTGATTCTTGTGTCTTCTGTTGGACTCTCTTCCTTCTGTTGGTCTGTCCTGTCCAACTTTGATGTGATAGTTTTTGTTTTATCTTATTATACTTTACAAAATGAATGAATGAATGAATGACAACCTAGCCACAAGGGTAAATAAAGGTTAACAACTGAACTGTCATTTATAGCTGCTGGGAGAGGAAAAATCAGTTTTCTCCCACGAAGTGACACTGGGAACATCACCCACTCCAGGGCAGGCCTCAGTGTCCAGCAGTAGCTGATCAACATAATGGACTCCACAGTTTTTTGTGTGCTTCTATTTGACAGCATTTGACAGCAGTTTGGTGGTTTTGTTTTATTGGTTTGGGGGTTTTATTGTTGCAGTTGGGCTTTTGTTTTTTGAGAAAAAAAATAAAGTTGGGTGGGGAGGGACAGGAAGAAGATCTGGAAGGACTTGGGGGAGGAAAAGATTATGACCAAATATATTTAAATTTAAAGATTGTTTTAATTAATACAATATTTTTTTTTTGGGACAGGGTTTCTCTGTGTAACAGCCCTAGTTGTCCTGAAACTAGATCTGTAGAACAGGCTGGCCTTGAACTCACAGAGATCGGCCTACCTCTGCCTCCCAAGTGCTGGGATTAAAGGTATATGTCATCACCACTCGGCAATTTAAATTTTCTTAAGTTTTATTTGTGTGTATGTTGTGGAGGCCATCAGACAACTCTGAGGAGAAGGTGACTCCCTGTCATCTTGCATGGTCTGGGGATCAAACTCAGGTTGCCAGGTTGCCTGCAAGTGCCTCTACCGTCTGAGTCATTTCTCCAACCCAAGTAAAAATAGTAAGATAAAAAACATCCGTGTTCAGGCCTGCCATGGTGGCACACATCTTAAATTCCAGCATTTGGGAGGCAGAGACAGGCAGGTCTCTGTAAGATGAGAGGCCAGCATGGTCTACAGAGTGAGTTCCAGGACAGTCAGGACTACACAGTGAGGCTATATCTCAAAAGACAAAGTTCAAACTCTTGAAATTTTGGAGGAATCTAAAACTGCAAAAAATAAAAAAGTATGGTGGCGTGTCCTGTCACCTGGAAGGCAGAGGCAGGAAGGTTGCAAGTTCAAGAACAGCCTGAGCTATAGATGAGAAACTGTATCTGTTATTACAAACACGGTTAACAACCAGGGCATAGGGAGGCCATAAACTCAACTGGAGTAATTAAATTGACTCAGCACCGAAATGATTTATAGACGTGGCTGTTTATAACCAAAGACAAAGACTTCTCTCAGCCTTAAGCAGAGGAGGTCTCTTCACAGGACACAGTGTTGAATGCCATATACTGACTGGTCCTAGATGTCAACTGCACAGACGTAACCAACACACATATGGAGGAAACATTAGGATGATACCCTTTATTAAATTTATTCTTACCTTTTCAAAGACTGTACTGTCCAGGTAGGGATAAACATGAAAAGCCCCCCTTATCCTCTTCACCCCCGGATACAAGAGTGGGACCATGTTGACATATGCCACACCATGAAACGAAAGCTGATTTTCATCATCGGCCTAAGGGGACAGGAGCAGAGGCGTCAGAGCACAGAGCAGCGAGGCAGACAGTGGGAGGCTACTCTAGGAACAAGCTCTGCCGAGTGCTCAGTCACATAGACACTTGGGGACCTGGCTTCATTTTCACTAAGATGTGGGGGGTGGTGGCACACACCTTTAGTCCCAGCACTCAGGAGACAGAGCCAGGAGGATCTCTGTGAGCTTGAGGCCAGCCTGGTCTACAGAGTGAGTTCTAGGACAGGCAGGGTTATATCGAGAGACCCTATCTCAAAACAAAACAATTTTCATTGTACACATTCACTGTAGATGGCACTGTGTTACACAAGGACATGTTTAGTCGGGTATGAATGTGCACTGCGCACACTCTTCCACACACCTTCCTCTTAGTTCCTTTGGTTCCCTAAATGGTGTTGATTCTACTTTCATGTCATATGTACAGATGTTAACTGTATGCATCTATATTAAATTCAGGAACTCTAAATGACAGAAAATAGGTATTTGTCTTTCTGAAACTGAATTAATCAGTATAATATGATTGCATCTATTTTCCTGCAAATGGTATATTACTTTACTCTTTTTTTGTTCTTTCTTTCTTTTTTTTTTTTTTTTTTTTTTTTTTTTTTTTTTTTTTTTTTTTTTTT